GACGCCCGGTCCCGCAGACCCATTGCAGTGCTCTACAAGCTGAGCTAAACTGCAGGGCAGCATTTCTGGGTGCTTTCTGTGCCCAGGGATGTGCCTGTTGCCATCCCTTTTTGGTGTCCAAATGTCCCTCTGCCCCAGGCTTGGGCAGAGCCGTTTTTGGAGCAGGACAATGATGGAGGCGGGCAGGAGCTCCCTGCTGCAAGCAGCACGTTGTGAGACTGTTTATTTTTAAACTCCCAGAGAGTTTATATTCTCGAAGAACTGGAAAGGCAGGAGCCACTGATGTGACTTACTGGAATAGCTGAGGGTTGGGTGTAAGTGTTAAAAACAAACTTGACCTTTGGAAGAGATCTCAGCCAGTGCTCCCGTGGGTGGGACAGTGGCCCTGTGACCTGGCGGGCGTGCAGAGGAATGCCTCCTGCAGCAGGAGCATCCCAAGCTGCTGGCTCCATGCCTTCCTCGTCCCCTCCTCGGGATGTGGCGTGATTCTGTTGGTAAAACCCGTGCTCTTTGCTTGCCTGCGTTTTATCTCGCATATTCCAACTGCAGGTGTTGGGTATATACTGACTCAGAACTTTTCCCGTAGGCAGAACAGCAGTTAGTTGATTGTGCCCAGGCTTTCAACAACCACGGCTGCAGCGGGTAAGTCATGTGAAGTAGTAAAGCATAGAAATGAGAGTACCTCATGTTCCATGACTGACAGCCTTCCTCAAGGTCTGGTGTCTGGGACTTGGTATGAGTTTGTTTCCCCTGGCTGAGATGTGTCTGGGTTTGCTTTGCTCATTTTAATCTCACCCTCCCTAGAGGCTGGAAAGTGTCGCTACATCTCCAGCGTTTCCCAGCCTCTGTTGTTTCTTGTTTATTAGTTTTTCTTTGGATACCTGTTTTGTTGCAGTGGTTTCCGATCCCGCAGTCACGGGTGCTCCGTAGCCAGGCTTCAGTGTGCTTGGGGAGAGCAAGTGGGGGGGTTGGTTTGTTGCTCCTTGTAGGTCACATGCATCTCGTGATGCTTTAAGGAACCCACAGAAACCTCTGCTTCCCCTCTGGTGAATCCCTCCTGGATTGCTAGAGAAGGCAGAAAATACAGCTTTCTGTTTTCTGTACGATGGATGGTCCCTGAGGAATGCTCAGAGCTGAGCAAAGCCACTCAGTGCTTTTTAGTTTTCTTATGACTCCTCCTTAGTCCTTTCTCTGTTAGCACACCCTGATCACACTCTCCTTTTTCCCCTCCTTGTGAAAGAAAAGCCCTCTTTGGGATGTGCTCCCAAAGGTGACTGGGGCAGGGAGCCACTTGCTGGGATCACGTCCCTCCCTTTCCCCCTGGTCTGTGGGACTGGGGGGGGGGGATATTGATGGCTCTGCTCTGTTACCATCAGAGTTAACCTGTGTTCTGGCTGTGCTGTCTTGCAGGGGCCTGCCAAGCCAAGCCTTCGAGTACATTCTGTACAACAAGGGGCTCATGGGGGAGGACACATACCCGTACCGGGCAGAGGTATTCCCAGTGCAGCTGGATGCGCTCCCGCTGCGGCAGAGCCGGCTCTAACTCCCGTTCCTTTCTGTCTGCACAGAATGGCACCTGCAGGTTCCAGCCGGAGAAGGCCATAGCGTTTGTCAAGGATGTCATCAATATCACACAGGTAAGGCCCCGAGGGCTGGTTTCCAAACTTTCAGGGCTGTGCCAAGCCTGACCTGGAAGGTGCTTGGATACCATGGGAGGTGCTGGGCCCTGCAGTGTGAGCCTGTGTGCTGCTGGTGTGCACACTGCTGCAGTCAGGACCCTGCTCCCTTTTCTGAGGGTGGCACTGGTGAAGTGCTGCAGCCAAAGCACAGCCACTGGCGCCCTGCCCACTTTCCACAGTGATGCGCCTGCAGGCTCTGGGAAAGTCTTGGTTCTTGTCTTTCAATGCAAGTAGAAGGCCAGGGTTGGCCTTCCCTGCTGGGCTCTGACCACTGGCCTGGGGGTCCTGGCTGCTCCCAGTGTGACTGGGAGATCAGTAACTCTGGGATTCTCTTCCCACAGTACGACGAGGAGGGCATGGTGGAAGCTGTGGGGAAGCACAACCCGGTGAGCTTTGCCTTTGAGGTGACGAGTAACTTCATGCACTACAGGAAAGGAGTCTACTCCAAGTGAGTATTTCTGCACCTGGGAGGTGAGGGGAAGATGTAGAGCTGGAATCACTTCGCATCCCCATTTCTCCTGCCTTGCAGCACTGGCTGCAGGGACACTAAGCTGCTTGCTTTTAACCGGAAAACAGAAGTAACTGGGGCCGCGCTAC